TAATATATAATATTTATATGTATATGTAAATGAATCTCTACTCATATTATTATTTATGTATATGTAAATGAATCTCTACTCATATTATTATTTGTTTGATTATGAGGGTATCAAGATCAATCCTTCTCAAATTTGTAGAACAGCAAATTATCCTAGTTAACATTAAGGAATTCATTAAAGATTATCTCTTTTTTATTCTTCACAAAAAATTAAACATTGAGAGGAATGGGGAAGTGGAAGAAAAAAAAAATTTATTTGGTTATCAACAAAATTAGAGAGGAGAGGGAGAAAATTTTCATTTACCTTATTTTTTCTTTTAATTTAATTATTTATTCAAATTAAAAAAAAAGAGGGAAATAAAAAGATATAATTCCCCTTCCCCCTCTTTCTTTCCCTTTCTATCATTCTTCTCAACCTAAATATGGAGTTAATTAACAATTCTTTTATCAACTAAATCACAATTCTAAGTTATAAAACACATTCTTCTTAAATTTTCATTAAAGAGACCTAAATACAGTTTCCTCTTCTTGATAATTATTAAATTAAAAAAAAAATACAAAAATGATTGAAATTTTTATTTTTTTCCCAATAGCACTTTGTATAATATAATGTAACATCAAATGAGTAATTGAATAATTATTTCTATATTTTTATACATTAATATTATAATCAAAAAATTAAAAATAATATTTTTATCCCTTATTTTTCTTTATACAATTCCCAATTCCTAAATTTTTTTTTACACTTTCTAAAAAGAAAAAGTTTTTCATCAACCTAATAATTTTTCTATCAACTTTTTTAAACTTATACTAATTTTTTACCAGATCAAAAAAATTAATAATTCAATAAAATTTTAACAAAAATTAATTATAAAACTTATCAAATTTCAATACAATATATTCTTAATCAATTTTCCACTATTTTTTTTTTTTTTCAATGAAGTGTGCTCTTCAATGAATCATGCTCATGGGTGGCGTGGCTCGCGGGCAGGAATGAGTTCCTCCTTTTTAGTGGCTGAAGAAAACGTGAGCTTGAGTGAAGGATGCACCACATGATGGCACGTGTCAGGACACTGCGTGACATGGGTCCCATGCAACGCACACTTTTTGCCAGCAACCACGTGAGCCGAAATACAATAAATCACGTGATTTATGGACAGGCAAAGATCTAACGTACATGTTTAACCCAATCAGGTTTTGTCACGTGTTAGGTCTGGTCACGTGATCCCTGCCCGGCTGGTTGCCCTTTAACCATGCATATTTATCATGATTGGTGAGGTTGCTTATCGCTAATCTCCGTATTAATAGTCTTAAACTCATTCCTAAAAATTAAAGAAATTATTGATGAATTTTTCTATCTTTTGTTCTTCCTGAAAGGATAAGGGATAAGAAATATATTTTTTTATGATTAATTTTTATTAAAAATATAAATTTTAATTAACTAATTAATTAATTAAAATTATTTATTTATTAATGATATTAAAAAATATATAGTTTTTTTTATAATTTTTTATATAAATTAATTATAAAAAAATATGTTTATTACACTACATAAATTAAACAAATCTTTAATTTTTTAATTTAAAATTTTACTTAAAATATTATATTATATTTATTTATTTAAATAATTCAATGATAATTTTTTTTATTAAAAATAAAAATTATGAATTCGAATCATATGACATGTGAATGAAGTAAAATAAAAAATATATATATATCTTATTATATAATTAATATTAAATATATATATCATCTTATTTTTTATTTAATATCATGCAACCTCATGATTAATTTATCCCTACCTACCCATGCTATCAATGATAAACCATGTTTTAGGTTATGTATAGGATCCGGAGGGTTAGAAATTCGAGAAAGGAAAACGCATGTACGAATGAACTCTTCTCATCAAGATAAATTAAATTTGATGGAATTTACATCAACATCACCATATTGATTAATGTTTGACTCTTCTTGCTCCTTATGAGGTAGACTTGCCCCTCTTGACTCTTGAGATCGATTAAACCATCTCACGTGAAGCACGCCAAACAATTCTATTAATTATGGTTTAAAATTATTACATTGTAGGTTTATAATTATTATATGTTA